GTAGCCTCTTTTGCTCCTGGTTTGTCCCCAGGAGCAGTTCCTTGTGCCCTTTCCTAACTGCTCTACTAGTGCAAATTCCCATTTCATAAGAGCTTTGGATTTGAAGTAGATTCACTTGTGTCCCTTTGTCTTTGGCCAATGCCTAGAAACGTCCTAGCCATGGCCTTTCCCTCCCTGGGACCTGTTTCTCCTCAGCCACACCTTTGCTTTGCTGCCTGTGCTCCAACACTGATCTGCTGTGAGATTTAGTCTCACTTCTGGGACTTAGACACTTGTTGGAACCAAAGTGTATTTATTTCTTCTGTTCTCTGCAGGGAATATGTATAATCCATTGTTATTCCCATGCTGTAACAGCTCCAAACCTCCAGGTGTGCCCAGTGCTCCTGCAGACGTCATCAGCAATGAAACCAGGAGAAATTGCTCATTTAGGATTAATTAGAGCTACATTTGGAGCAGAAATCCCAGGGGAGCACTAGATGTGTGTAACTCCACAGCAACACCAGAACTTTCTGGTGTTAATTCTCCCCCCTAGTGATGGCAAGATTAACTCCTTAGTGAGATGTTGTCTCCTCTAGCCAATCCAGCAGCAAGGAAGCTCTGGGAAGTGCCTGTGAGCAGAGCAAAGGGATATCTAAGGGAGGAAAAAAAGGGCTCCAAACCCTCCAAAATAGCTGTTTTGTCACCTCAGGCTAGTTCTTAGCCCCTTGGGATAATTCCCTGCTGGAATCAGTGCTGCCTCTCCCTTTCACACTGTTGAAGGACTTGTTTTCAGGCTCTGCTTTTAAAGAAGAACAATTCCCTTTTGCAGAGCTCACTCCTGTCCTGTTTGAACTAGGTCCATACTCTTTGCTATGGTTTTCTCCCCCATCTCTCCCTAGGAATTTAACCTTTTCCACCCTTTTTTTGCATGCTGAATTTATTTTTGTGCTTGTCTTTTGTTGGTTGTGTTTATTTTTTACAGGAATATTAAACCAGAAAGACCCAAAAATCACTATTTTCCACTTGTTTTCTCCTTGCCACCACCAACACCTCCAACGTTTCTGAACTCACCTCAACTTTGGGTTCTGCAGGTCCTTGGGAGTGATATGGACATGGTGGGAGGGGAAAAAAAACAACCAAGAGATTAGGGTTTTTTTTCTAGCTTTGGAAGATATAATTAGTGATGTGATGACCCAAAAGATCAGAGAACTGATGAATAAGCACCAGGGACCCAACTCAAGTGATGGGATGAAGTCAGAGGTCCTTGCTGGGCCCCTGGGCTTGTTGGGGAGTAGAGTTCAGCAAGTTTCAAGGGAGAAATTAAACACTTCTAAACACTTCCTTGCTCTTAGGAAAGCAGAAGAATTGCTGGTATGTTCTCCCCCCTCACAGCCTCCTCTGCAAGGGGTTGCAGAACACAGCAGTGTTTGGTTTAGATAGGAACCACTCAAGTGGTGCTGAGGGGAAAGGACAAAGTGAGGAAAACAGGCAAGGAAAACATGCAGAAAAATATGAGATACAAGTTTATGACTGTGGTAGGGCTCCAAAACCATTCCAAGGAAGCAGCTTGAAGAGCTGCAGTTGATTTCTGGGCAGCACAAAGTCCCTGAGCAGTTAGTTATCTCTGGGTCTCACTTTGATGTGTGGAGATGCCAAGATTGTGGGCAGGAACATCTGGAGAGCAGCACAGAGCTGAGCCACAGCTGGATCAGGGAATTTCTGCCCTCAGTAGATCTCAAATGTCCCACCAGCAGTTTTCATTTCTTTGCCTAGGCCCAGAACTTAGAGTCTGAAATATCTGAATGTGCTGAACTTCCCTGACAAAATTCTCCAGTGCAAAGCAGAGGAACATTTATTGCTGAGGCTCTTTGGGATGTGGTAACAGCTGATGGAGCTGCTGCTCACATGGTCTGGCTGGGAAGGACCTTATCTGGTGCAGTTCCTGAGGAGGGAGGGAGAGGGGAAAAAAAAACCCCAATCCTCCCATCTATTATTTCGCCTTTCTTGTCACTAATCTGCAGAGCAAAGGAAGGTTTGGGGAGCACTTGTGGAGCCAAAACCTTCAGGGTAAAGGAAGGTTTGGGGAGCCTAAAACCTGCAGGGCAAACGATGCTTTGGGAAGCACTTTTGGAGCCAAAGGAGATGAGTGGGGCAAACCATGACTGGTGATGTGGTTTTGTTTCCATCCATTCCATCACATCCCATTTCAGAGGAGCTAATTAAATCTAGGCTGGCCTAATAAAGCCAAGGTTGGCTGTGTTATCTGCCAGCAGAGCAGTGTCTAGGTCCTTGCTGAGCTCCTGCACCAATTCTGGGTGTGAGACACAGCAGATTTGCATGGACTCTGCCCAAGGGGAGCAAAGAGGTATAGCTGAAGCTACAAATTGGCCTAGGAGATAAGAACTCTCCTGAAATCTATATGCAATTAAAAGCCCAATCTCCCTGCCTATAGTGACAAGGTTATTGCCTTTATGGAGCTGAACAGAGATGAATGAGTCTCTGGATTAATAGCACGAAGATTTATGACACTGTGCTTGCCCCAAATATTCTGGGAGAATAACTCTCTGGCTGAGAGATTCCAGCTGAAAAACATTTGATATGATTTTTTCTTCTCCTTCATTCCCCTCCCCACCCCAGCTTGGTATTATTTGGGAGAGTTGTGCTGCATTCAGAGCTTGGGAGTGCTGTGGCTTCATCTTATATTCTAAAGCAAAGGCTTAGCAGTAACTGCAGCCCAAAAAATGGCCTTGAGAAACCCCAAAAAAAAAAATATATTACCTTGCAGAGAGTGAGATTCCAATGACATTAAACTCCCCTTGGCAATGATCAACGATTTCAGGAGAGCTGCTCTGCCCCATGGGAAGGGAGTGATGTCCATGGATGTCCTGGTTGGCTCTGTCCCAGCAGCTGGAAGAAGTTTGCACAGAAATCAGTTGGGTTAACCCTTGTAGAACTAACTCATACACTTGGCATGGCAGTACAAAGGGCTGGGTTTTTTTTCTAAAGGAAAGCTCTGATTTGTGTGATTTCTCCTTCTTTAAGTTGACTACTTCTTTACCTTGCCCACTCTGAGCTTTCTTCCTGTCCTCAGGGAGGATGAAGCTAAAGGAGTCACTTCTGGTAGGAGAAATGAGGCCTCAGCAAGGAGGGAAAACCCTCCAAGCTGTGCTGAGTTGAAGGGATGGAAAACCCTCTCCTCTCCCTTTCCTTTCCTTCTCCTCTTCCCCAGAGTCCCTGAGCTGTGCTAACCCCTGGAGACCCTTCCTGGTTCCCCTGCCCATTCCCTGCCATGGGATGTGCAGAGAACAACCTCCCCTTGACCATTCTGGTCGAGTATGTACAACCTACAATAAACCCCTTGGACTGTGTGTCTCATTCCTTTGACAAAGTGTGAGTGTGACCCTTCCCTTAGCACAAGGCTCAGCTATTCTGGGACTTTCCCAAACTTTAAGGAAAGGAAAATAGGTTTTCTCTCCACTTTTGCAGGACTATGAGTGCATTAATCTACCTACAACAGCTCCAAAGCAGCTCAGGCATGGAAGCTGCTGTGGAAACCAATCTCAGAGTGATTCTTGCCCTTGCTGGCAAGAACAAGGCACCTGCTTTGGCACCAAACTTGCCACATAGGCAAGGCAAAGCAGCTCCTGCTTCCTGCCCTTTTCCTGCCTGTTTGCTCTTTTGAGCACAAATGGATTTGCCTGTTAGTTTTGGATGGTGCCTAAAGCACTAATGTCCAGCCTAGGTTTCCTCTCCCCCTTCTCCCAGGAGCAAATGGTTGGTGCTACCTCTACCTGGCATTTCTGGACAGGTAAAAAGGTATTTGCTGCTTATTTGGGAATAGTTTTGTGAAAAGCAATTTTCTTCTTCAGAGAAATGAATTCTTCCTCTCCTGCCCAGCCCTTCCTGGGCATTCTGCTGCCCAACATTCAGTCCCATCTGGAAAGGTTACACATGTGGATGGGCAGAAGGGTGAGCCCCAATATTGGAGTCTCTCCAAAAAAGAGGGAATTAGAGCCCAGGAGCAGCCCTGGGGAGGCTGCAGAGAGCTGCTGCCCATTACTGGTCTTGTGGCACCATCCAGTGGCTGCTGGCAGAGGAATGTCCCTTCCCTGTCCATACCCTCCAGGGAGGAGCTCTCAGCTCAAATTCTCTCACCTCAGACCGGAGAGGAGCCCAGAGAAGGGGGAAAGGGGGCAGAAATCCACGTTTGGGAGAGGGAGTCTGTGTTAGGAGCTGCAGGGACAGGACAAGGAGCAATGGGGAGAAATGGGGAGAGGGAAATTTAGGCTAGATCTTAGGCAGAAGTTTTCCCTGTGAGGGTGGTGAGACACTGTCCCAGGTTGCCCAGGGAGGCTGTGGCTGCCCCAACCCTGGCAGTGTTCAAAGGCAGGTAGGATGAGCCTTGAACAACCTGTTCTGGGGAGACTGGATGATCTCTAAGCTCCATTCCAACTCCATAACATTCTCTGATGATATGACAAAGGAGAGGTGCCAATTTTCCTGTTGCATTTTCCACTATGTCATACCTTAAAGAGCCCAAGATGATAAATGCACTGCTATAAATGTTGTTTGACTCATCCCATGTGGGCCAGGAGTCCCAGGAAAGTCATTTCCCAAACAAACCCTTCTAGAGGATCACATCACCCACCACCTAGCAAGTTCCAAAGGGTTGGACAGCACTTGGAATACTAATCAGGTTGTGTCTAAGGGTCCTGTGCACTGCCTGCCTGGAGAGCAAAAGTATCTGATGGGACTCACCTCGACCATTGGACAAGCCCTTGCTAGGAGCTTCTGGCTCCAGGGATGTCCTGGAGAGTCCTCAGAGGGCTCTGGGTGGAGCAGGCTCTGCTGCAAGGAATGGCCTTGGGAGTCACCAAGGCTTCAGGCTCTACTGCAGGTGGGGTCACCTTGGCACCACAAAGGGACCTGGGGGCTTCAGGCTTTGAGCTGGAAGGCAATAGAGAGAGCAAGGAGAAGCAGCATCCACCTCCTGGTAGCCCCTGGGGGAACCACACAGCCCAACTGCCATGGGGTTGGGTGGAAAAGGGGGAAAAGAGATTTGTATTTCCCTCCTCTCAGGATCTTAGGGACAGCTGACATTTTCTGCTGAACATATCAGGCCAAGCCACTTGCATCCCCTTAAATCCTGCCCTTGTCCAGCTTGTTGCCCCATGGAGAAGGACACAGCCCCCATGGCCATCAGTGGGTGGGCACAGACCCTCCCAGGAAGTGAGTTTAGAGCATGGGATGTCACTTCACTGGGCTGATGGCCCCATCAGCCCTGACACCTAGCACAACCTATCCCAAGCGAACAGCCCAGATTTGCTTTGGGAAATGATTACTAAAGAACAAATAAGTTATTTGAGGCAATTTCTATCCCCTAGGGCATGTGCAGCATTTACACTTGGGAGGAATTTCCAGCTCAAGGAGGTTTTGTGACCAGGAATGTCCTGGGCTTGGAGAGATTAAAAGGGAAGTGAAAGGGGGTTTAGGGCTCTTCCTTTGGGCACCTCTGCTGCCTTCACCACAAACAACACATCAGGGGAAGGAGGGACATGTGAAACCAACCCAGTGATGCTCCTCAAAAGCATTCCAGGAACCATTCCAATCCAAAGTCATTCAGGCACTGCTTTTGGGCCCCAAAGGAGAAGTGTCTGAAGCTTGAAGGGCTGGAGCATCTCAGCTTGGTGCTGCTGAGAGCCCTTGCAGCAGCTCTACCGGGTGCTAGGTGGTGATGTTGCACCACCAGGAGCTCGGGAAGGCTGCTAGGAACTACTGTTTCACATGGTTCGCATGAAAAGGGTTTGGCCAGCCAGACTCCTTGATATCCCCGTGCCAGGGGCTGCTGTGCCCCCCAACACCCTCCTGCCCTCGAAGAGAGGGAGCCTTGGGTCATTTAGCATATGAAAAGCTGCTTGTGAGGAAGATTTGTTTGGGAGATACTGCTAAGAAGCCTCAGAGGTGGGAGCACAGGGTTTATTCCCTGTGATTCTACCTCTGCCACCCCCAATGCCTTTTAGAGGGTGATGGCTCCAGACAGGTGGGGTTTATGCCTCTTAGTGCTTGGGTTGCTCCCCCCATGCCCCAAACAATCAGCTGAGAGCAGTGTGTGTGTCCCTGCAGCAGGTCAGGGCTGACACAGCTAATGCTGCCACTGGGGGGACAGACTTACCCTCATGGTCTCCAGCTTTTCTTCCAGCACATCCTCCAGGATGGGGTGAAACTGCTCCAGGAGGGTTGGGTTTCTCCTCAGGGCCTTCAGAAGCCTCTGCTTCCCACCTAGGGTGGCTTCTGCCCTGGCTGGAGGAAAGGTGAGTGCTGGGACCAGTGCTGGGGAAGGGCTGGTGGGATCCTTCTCTGCACTGAGGACATGGGTCCCATCAACCCCAGAGCAACTGGTTGTTCTCAGCAGACTTCATCCCTCTACAAATGGGCAACTTTGTCCTCTCACCTTATTAATTCCTGCCCCAAATCCCTCCCATAGCCCAGCAGCTGCCTAGGACAGCTCTGCCCAGGTGAAGCAGCTCTGGCCATGGTGCTGCCATGTTCTGCACATCCAAGGAGACCAGCAAGCTCATTCCTTCATCCCCTCTGCCCCCAGCACCTCCTTTTCCTCCCCACACAACACCTCAAGCCAAACAGCAGCTTCATCCCAGTGCTCTCAGGATATGGATGGTCCCAAATCCTCTGCATCCCCTCAGCCCTGCAAAGGCAAAGTCCTGCAGGAAAAGCAACTCCTGATACAATAAGCAGGAAATAGAGGCAGAAGCAAAGCTAAACCAACATGGACAGGTGAGGAAATGGGGTGGAAAACTATTCATCTCTGGTGTGTTCCTGCTCTGCCAACCCTTCCTGGTGCAGCTGGGCTGACCCTGGGTCCCCAGGGCTGGAAGGAGCCTGGAGCTGCCCCAGAAGAGCACACCAAGCCTGTGTGCAGAGACAGAGCTCTCTCTCTTGCTCAATCCCACATTCCTGGGGCATTCCCGGACCAGTGGTGGCTCAGGAGCTGAGTGTTGACAGAAGATAGCATTATGGAGCTGGGAAACAGGAGCTGCCCACACCTCTCTGCCCCCAAGGGACAAACAGCTGTTGAGACACAGATTTGCAGGTTGAGTTGCTTGGCTGGATTGCCATAGCCCTGGGAAAGAATGGAAATGCAAGGGGATGCTTTGCTCTCCAGCAGGAAAAGTCCCTGGTGCTCTGTTGGGATTCAGTGAGGGTCTTTGCACCACCTCAGCTGAGCTCCATTTCTTTCCAAGGGATCTGGCCCATCCCTAACCTTCCTTGGTGCCTCAGCATCTCCTTCCCAGGGGCCTATGCCACTCTACAGCCAGAGCTGAGCTGGGAGGATGAGGCAGTCCAGCCCCTTCCTGCCACAAGCTGAAGTAACAGTGCAGGAGCACAAACATTTGGCCAATGTGACTCATTTTCCAGGAAAAACAAGCTCAGGGGAGTGGTGGCTTATGAACCATTTTATTTTCCCTTGCACTACTCAGGTCCCTCTCAAAAACGTAGGGGGGAAGTTCCTGGGAGAAAAGCCCAAAGAACAGTCAGTGGTTTGGGCTTCTCTTCAGTAGCAGTTTCTGTCCTCCATCTTCATCTGCCTCAGAGGCTTCAGCCCAGTCCAAAGCCTGTGGTGTTTCCAAGTCCTCTGACACGTGTAGTTGCCGATAGTGCCCAGAGGTGTAGAGATCAAACTCCTTCCAGGAGTCCATGGACCTCTTTAGGAACTTTTCCCTTGGAGAAGCTCACTAGAAGGCTCCAAGTCCATTTGGTTCAGGAAGGTTTGGGTCAGGAGCACCTCTAAGGAAACAGAACTGAGGCAAAGGTGTCCTTAGTGTCCCTGGAGGCTACGTCCCATGGATACCCACCAACATTCACAGCATCCCAAGGGAGTAGGGATGGTGAATGAAAAGGTCTGTCTTTCTCCTACAAACCAGTTCCTGGCACCAGTGGGGACTGAGTTTTAGCCCTAGGATAGGGAGGGCTGGAAGGATCACCCTTCTCCTCCTTCCAGCATGTCACACAGTGTCCTCAGGGTGTGTTAAATCCCTCTGCTGTGCATTCTGGATCAGGTCCTCATAGGTGGTGGGACAGTAGGCCTTGTAGAGCTTCTCAGCCAGAGTATTGCTCCCTGCAACCACAACCTTCCTGTTGTGGTTCATGAAGTTCCACAAGTGCAGAGCATAGGAGTGGGTGAAATTGGGGCTTTTATCCCACACCTGGTAGTACCTACTCCAGGCTGGGTAAGGAATGGGGTAGAAACGCTGAGGATTGAGGAAAGAGATGTTGTGGCAGCTGTGGTCCTCAGTCCCTTTGAAATCAGTGAGGTTGCAGATGCTTTTGAGCATCCTTGTCATGAGGAAGGGCCCCTGGTTGCCCCAGATGTTCCCGTTGTACTTGAGGACAAAGTTCTCCATGCAGTCCCAAAGGAACTGGTGGTGTGCAGGGAAGCCAAAGATGCCATTGCTGGAGAAACGTGACTTCTGTGCTGCCAGGAAGCTCTCCTCAGGGATGGGCCTGATGGAGATGACATCTGTGTCCATGTAGATGCCTCCATACTTCCAGATGAGAGCCAACCTGCTGGCGTCAGAGCTGATGTGCACCCAGTTCTTCTCCTGCTCTGGCACCACCTGCAGGGGTGGAGAGGGGATACAGTGATGCTGCTGCAGGGAATGGACCTCACCCACCCCACTGAGCTGCAAGTGGCACTACCAAACTGCTCTGCGCACCTGGAAATTGCCCCAAGAGGCTTTTCCTCCTCCAGCCTTTGCATGGCCTGAGATGAGGAGGTGGCTTTGGGCAGGAAGGGGCGGAAGGGACCTTCAAGGAATGTTTGTTTCCACATTGCCTGGCTTTGATGGCTTCTTGAGGGGCAAAGAGGTGGTGGATTGCCCCAAAGCTTGCTGAGCCACAGGATGGCCGTGGAAATTCTCTAGCTGCCAGATATTGCCCATCACTCAAACCCTCTGAATGCTGAGGTAACCAACAACATCCCCTCCAGATGCCACAGATAATGAGGCTCCATTTTCCACCCTAAATCTCTGGAAATCTCAGAAAACTCAGAGGAGCAGGAAAGCAGTTTGGTGCCCAAACCACTGACTGTTCTTTGGGCTTTTCTCCCAGGAACTTCCCCCCTACGTTTTTGAGAGGGACCTGAGTAGTGCAAGGGAAAATAAAATGGTTCATAAGCCACCACTCCCCTGAGCTTGTTTTTCCTGGAAAATGAGTCACATTGGCCAAATGTTTGTGCTCCTGCACTGTTACTTCAGCTTGTGGCAGGAAGGGGCTGGACTGCCTCATCCTCCCAGCTCAGCTCTGGCTGTAGAGTGGCATAGGCCCCTGGGAAGGAGATGCTGAGGCACCAAGGAAGGTTAGGGATGGGCCAGATCCCTTGGAAAGAAATGGAGCTCAGCTGAGGTGGTGCAAAGACCCTCACTGAATCCCAACAGAGCACCAGGGACTTTTCCTGCTGGAGAGCAAAGCATCCCCTTGCAGTTCCTTTCTTTCCCAGGACAATGCTTAGGGAACAGCCAGGAATGCAGGAACATTTCCCTGGTGATTTGATGGAACTACAACCTTAAGCCAATGATGCCATGAATCATTCCCTGCTCCTGCAGTGGAACACAACCCACTTAACACACTCCCTGAGCACTCCCAAGTCTTTGAACCTTTTCATTGCCATTGTTGGCATTTGGAGTCATTTTTTTCCCTCAGGACTTTGGGGAGGAATTACTCCTGCCCTGCCAAACACATGGAACAAAAGCTCCTTGCAAGAAGTTCGCCAGGAACTTTTGCCAGGGTGGAGCTCACACGATCCCACCTTGGCTTTGTGTATTGCTATTCTAAGCCCTGAAATCACTCCCACATCTTATCTGCAGCTGCTCAGTTAGTGTGCAGCAGCACTAGGCAGTGCTCAGTGTTGTGGCCAAGCAGCTGCTGCTGAGGAGGATTATTAAGCACTGTTTGCTCCAAACATGCATGGAATCTATTTGCCCCAATATTCCCTTTGCCAACAACTCTGACACTCCAGCTAGGGGTGAAAATGCTGATGAGGTGTTCCAGAAACAGAGAGAGCAACACAAGACAAAACAAAGCCAAAAGGGATCTATTCCCAGCAAACAGGGACTCATTTCACACAGCCACTCCTGTGCTCCTCAGTTTTAAGCCTATCCAGGACTTTCCCCATCTCTATTTAGAGCTGTTTTCCTGTTTTCCCTTTTTAGAATATGTTACAGGGTTGGAATGGACCTTAAAGATCATCTAGTTCCAATCTCTCTGGGCAGGGACACCTCCCACCAGAGCAGGTTGCTCAAGGCTTGATCCAACCTGGAATGAATCATAGAATTACAGACTTTTAGGGGTTGGAATGGACCTTAGGGATCATCTAGTTCCAGTCCCCACCCTGGGCAGGGACACCTCCCACCAGCCCAGGTTGCTCAGGACTATCCACCCTGGCTCTGAACACTTTGTGATGCTCACCTGGTTGTACCACTGGAGCAGAGGTGTCTCCTGGAAGACAGTTTCCATCTGGAGAGGGAAGATGAAGACATTCTTCATAGAAGACAGAAGTGAGAAGGCTGCATAGCTGGAGTTCAAGTCCAAGGCTGTTTCATTTGTGAGTCCCTTCATGAAGAGGATGATGGGCCTGTCCTGGTAGATCCTGGCAGCAGATTCCACAGAGCAGGACACCAGTGGAGAAGGCTCCAGGCGCTCTGTGGTCTCCAGAAAAATGATGCTCTTGCCAAGGTTCAAAACCTGCTCAGGTGTCAAGTACTGTTGGGCCATAGGCAAATAGGAGAACACACAGCCAGACAGGAGGGAGATCTCATACAAAATGCCCGAGATGAAGAAGAAACAGAGGCAGATCTGGAATTTCCTCAACATTCTTGTTCTCCCTGGGCGTCTGGGGACATGCCTCCCACAGGGATGCTGAGGAAAGACAAGGGACAGCAAACAGAGATGTCAGTGAGTCATAGTTTCATAGCTTCATAGTGTGTTAAAGGTTTGGAATGTACCTTAAAGATCATCCAGCCCCAACCCCCTGCCCTGGGCAGGGACACCTCCCACCAGAGCAGGTTGCTCAAGGCTCATCCAACCTGGCTGTGAACACTGCCAGGGTTGGGGCAGCCACAGCCTCCCTGGGCAACCTGGGACAGTGTCTCACCACCCTCACAGGGAAAACTTCTTCCTGATATCTAACCTAAATTTCCCTCTTCCAATTTCTCCTCATTACTCCTTTTCCTGTCACTTGTTACTTAGCAGGACTGGGAAATGGTAGGATGTGACTTTGGACAGTGGAGCAGGAAAGCAGTTTGGTGCCAAGCCTGGTGCCAAGCCCTCTCAGGGTGCAGAGGGCTTTGCCCTGTGGGATGAAATTCTGGGGTCCCACCTCCTCACGCCCAGACAGGCAGGGGGACCAGGAGAGGGCTGAGAGTAGGAACAAGCAACTGTGTCTCATGGCACAGCTATGCAGTCATTGGATTGGGAGATGAAGAAGGACTAAGGGAGAGAGCAAGAGGAGGAGGATCATCTCATCCCACACTAAGGTAAGGGCCCCCAGAGCCACCCCTGGGGTAGGAAGCTGTTCCCAAGCACTGCAGTGCCACGCCAACACGTGTTTGTCCAGGAGCAGGAGATACCCAGGGGATCTGAGGAGCAAAACGTACCAGTGGAAAGAGGTGGCTAAGGGGCTGTGAGTGTCACAGGGGGAAAGTCATGATTCCAGTTTAGGGGATGTCAGCCAAAGCTGAAACATGATGCATGTAGGCACCAAAGCTTTGTCCCAGTCTGGCCCTTCTGCTCACACTTCAACCCTGAGGGATGTGAGGGACTCAGGTCCTGCAGGGATGGAGGCTACTGCTGGCCCAGAGAGAGGCAGATGTAGGGATAGAAAGTGGATGGGTTTGGCCAAGCAAGGAATTAGGACCTACCTGGATTATGGTTCTGACAAATCTACATTTCCAGCTTCTCTTCTGGCCATCCTGGTGGCATTCCGACTCCCTCAAAGCCCAGCTCCCTGCTGGAGACACCCAAACTGGCTGGAGCATACAAAGGGATTTCTGAAGGCAGGACACCGAAGCACAGAGGAAAACCAGCTGGATCTCAGGCCCAGAAAAGCTTTGGGACCCACCTACAAGAATGAAAGGACAGGTTTTAGGTGAGCTCCATCTTGTACCTACATCAGACCCAGCTCCAACCAGAACATCAGCCTATACAGCACCAGGGAGTTCTTGCTGGTCAGAGGCAGGATAGAACCTTATCTGCACTGCCCTGGGACACAAGGAAATGCCCTCCTGAAATGTCACCTGGTTGCAGATGAGCAGCTCAGGTTTGCTCTGCAGGGATCAGGAGCCAGGGAACAACACATGGAGTGACAACTCAACATCCAAGCAGGTCCTGGAAGTGTCCAAAGCTTGACTGATTAAAGGGAATGAGAGGAAACAGAGCTCTGTGTGCTGGGATAATTAATGACCTGCATTGCCATGTCACCTAGGCATAATATAGATAAGTCCCTGTGGAAATTCCCCTGCAGGTGATGAGTGTGTGCTTGGAGCTGAGGAAACTCCTGAGGCACTTCTCAGAGCTGGAGCTCATCAGATGAGCTATGAAAGCAGTGACTGTTCCCATCACTGCTGCATAACACACTTTGTGCTTCTCCACTGCCACTGCAGGTTTTCAGCACACCCCAAGCTCCCAGACAAGGTGCCAGGGGTGAAGTAGGTGACAAAGATCTAAGCCACCAGGCACCAATGTGGTCATGGACACAATGTGCTGGGCAAAGCAGCCTGAAGAGGAGAGAATGCTGCTTTTACTACCAGCAGTAAAAAAGAGCAGGTTTAGATTAGATATTGGGCAGGAATTCTTTGCTGTGAGGGTGCTGAGGCACTGGCACAGGTTGCCCAGAGTAGCTGTGGCTGCTCCATCCCTGGGAGTGTTCCAGGCCAGGTTGGATGGGGCTTGGCGCAACCTGGGCTGGTGGTGGGAAGTGTCCCTTGCCCAGGGCAAGGGGTAGAATGAGATGAACTTTAAGGTCTCCCAACCCAAACCAGCCTGGGACTCTATACAATTCTATGACAACTTTTCCTACCTTTTCCACCTAGTTTTTCCCACTTTCTCCTGTTGTCTCCTCCCTGCAGAGGAGTCTGTGCTGGGAGAGGCACCCAGGGCCTCCTTGCAGCTATGGAGTGTGGCCGGAAGACAGGGAATGGAGAGCAAACAGCACTGGTATGGAAACACCACGTTCCCAAGGCTGGAGATAACAGAGGCTGTGCTGCCCAGCAATGCTCAGCTGCAGCACACACCTTCTGAACAGCCCAGCACCACAGGCCTCAGGGAACAGCAGCAGCAGCAAGAGCAGAATCAACTAAATTTCCCTCCTTCAATTTGAACCCATTACTCAGTGTCCTGTCCCTGCAGCTCCTAACACAGATCCCTCTGAACCTTCCCTGGGGCCCCTTCAGCTCCTGCAGGTTCACCTGCGGTCTCCACACAACCTTCTCTTCTCCAGGATGAACAGCCCCAACTCCCTCAGCCTGTCCTCACAGGGGAGATGCTCCAGTGCTCTTAGCAACTTCGTGGCCTCCTCTGGACTTGCTCCAACAGTTTCATGTCCTTTTTACATTGACGGCACCAGAACTGTGTGCAGTATTCCAGGTGGGTCTCAGCAGAGCAGAGCAGAGGGGCAGAATCACCTCCCTTGCTCTCCTATCACACTCCTGTGGCTCAGCCCAGGCCTGGGCTGGTTTCTGGGCTGAGCTCACACTGCAACTCATGGGCAGTTTCTCACCCATCATCACCCCCAAGTCTCTCTCCTCATTGCTGCTCTCAATTGCTTCCCCACCCAACCTGGAGGTGCCTGGGATTGCCATGACCCAGATGTAGGACCTTGCCCTTCATTTGGTTGGACTTCATCCTGTACTCTTGCTACCTTGGAGCTCAGAGTTCATCCACGTCCAACCCCTGCCCTGGGCAGGGACACCTCCCACCAGAGCAGGTTGCTCAAGGCTCATCCAACCTGGCTGTGAACACTGCCAGGGTTGGGGCAGCCACAGCCTCCCTGGGCAACCTGGGCCAGTGTCTCACCACCCTCACAGGGAAAAGTTTCTGCCTGATATCTAGCATAATTTTCCCCCAGCAGAGCAGCCCATGGGCACTCCCAGCCCTGCAGGGTCCTGGGCTCAGCTTGAACAAGGGACTAAGCCTACTCCTCATTTGCCAAAAAGTTTTCTTTTAATCACTGGTTATTTTTTTTTTTTAATCCCAGTTAGTGGGTTATTTCAACCCCAGTTTGCCCAGCCTGGAGTTGAGCTCTGTTTTCAGTCTCACACTCTCCAAAGCAAGTCACCTGCATTACCAATTCCAGGAAGATACTACACATATCAACTCCTCTGAGAAATCCACTGCCACTGAAGCCTCATTCCCACAGCTCCTGAGCACTGGGCTTTAAAACAGACACCTCTTCCCTATTCCCAGTGCTGTGGCTTTCCTCCAAGAGCCAGGGGGGTTTGCTTTTGGGTCTGCACCCATCCAGCTGGGACACTCCCTGTTCCTGTGGACACACTCAGCATTGCTTGAACCCACAGTTTCTTCTAGTGTCTTTCCAGCTCGAGGAATTTGCAGCTCAAAACTAAATTCCTCCAGGATGTAACCCCAGGCACATTAGGAAACTGCTTTCAAAGGGATAAGCTGTGCAAGGATAGATTGTATTCAGAGCAATTATTTACTGCAGCTGTTGGGATGCAAAGAAAGAGGCTCCAAAGAGGTGGTGTCACTGCTCCAAGCTTCTACAACCCCCCCAGGCTTAGAGAAAAGGCCAAACTTACCTCCTGGCTGCAAAAAGCAGGAAAACTGTGCAGGCTGTTGAGGAGCAACACCAAGTTGAGCCCCACTGGAAGGTATCCACAGGTGGTGGAGAGCTTGAGGAGCTACTCTGCCTTTCCACTCTCTCCTGCCCTGCCAAGGCTCGGAGCAGCCTCATGGCTTGCTCTGCAGCAGCTCTGCTGTTTGCCTTGGTGCTGTGCTGAGATAAGGCTGAGCAGGGAGCTGGGGCTGTGCTCTCACAGGGGGAGGTCCTTGGGCAGCCAAAGGTGAGTCCCACCGCTCTGCCAGGGGCACAGGAGGTGGGTGGGACTGGGCAAAGATAGCTCTTTGGCATCTTTTGGAAGTGGTTTGCAGTATATTCAGCCTTTGCTGTTTGTATTTACATCTGCACTTATGGAGGCTACTACAGGGCAAGGAACAAGTTTGCTGGAGTGGGATTGATGCTCTGAGTACTCCCAAGGGAGGCAACACAAACCTTCACAACGACATCCCAAATAACACTACACATCCTGAACTGGCTGCCTGACAAGCTCCTGTGCCTGCCCAGCTGGGGTGGTTTGCTCCCACGTGGGGAGATTTGCTCAGCTGCCAGAGCCTCTCCTTGTCGTAGAATCACAGAATCAATTGGGTTGGAAAAGACCTCAAAGATCATTGAGTCCAGCCCTATCATGGTTATTAGACCATGGCACTAAGTGCCACATCTGACCTGCCTGGTGGATGAGGGGAAGGCTGTGGATATAATCTACCTGGACTTCAGCAAAGCCTTTGACAGCATCTTCCATAGCATACTCCTGAAAAAGTTGGCAGCCCACAGTTTGGACAAGGTTGAGACAAGATGTGGCACTTAGTGCCATGGTCTAGTAACAATGGTAGGGTTGGACTTGATGATCTTTGTGTTCTCTTCCAACCTGGTTGAATCTATGATTCTATGATCTAGTCTCATCTTCAAAACCTCCAGGGATGGTGATTCCACCACCTCCCTGGGCAGCACATTCCAATGCCTGATCACTCCCTCTATAAAAGAAATCTCTTCCTAATATCCAACCTAATCCTCCCCTGGCAGAGCTTGAGTCTGTGCCCTCTTGTCCTGCTGCTGGTTGCCTGGGAGAAGAGACCAACCCCCACCTGACTCCAACCTCCTGTCAGGGAGTTGTAGAGGGTGATAAGGTCTCCCCTGAGCCTCTTCTTCTCCAGGTTGTCTCCACAACCTGTCCCAGGAGGGATGCTCTAATGCATACAGGAGCACCACTAGCTGCCCCTCAAGGATTGGGATGACCCACCTCAGGTTGGAGAGATCCCCCAGAGCTTCTCTGGGCCTGGAACCTAAGGGGTATGAACTCCAGTGACCATCCTGCACTAGGACAGCATAATTTGTAAGGGAGAAAAGTGGAGCTGTAGTATCCAAGAGAACATCCCTCCTGCAGCCCTGAGCCATGCTGGACCACTGTCACTCAGCCCATGTGGCATTTGGGTCAGGCACTGGAAGAAGGAATTGCTCAGGGAGGTGGTGGAGTCACCATTCCTGGTAAGAGGCATCTGGATGTGGCACTGGAGGATCTGGTTTAGGGATTCCAGCAGTGACAGGTTAATGGTTGGACTCGATGAACTTAGAGGTCTCCTCCAACCTTGCTGGTTCTATGACTCTATTAAAGACACCTCCACAGCACCCCCAGCAATCAGGTTTGTTGCAGCTCCTCTCGTGCTCTATCTCCCTTCTCCTCTGCTTTTTGTAAGGCAAACCACATCCAAACTTCCCAGCAGGGCTGACAACTCTGTCCAGCCAAGGGGTGTTGCATACCTGCATGTTGCATACATGGCAAATCCACTCGTTTCCCACTCCAAAACTCCATCATTAGTGCTTAGAAGGCACCAAGAACCTCTCAGGTAATCCCTCATGCTGGGATGGTAGCAAAAAGGCATCCAAAAGAGCCCTGGACAGGGCAGGGCGTTCCCACTGCTCCCCCTTGCCCCAGCGCAGGGTGCTCAGCGCCTGTCCCAGGCTTTGTTTGCTTTCGTAAGTAAGTATTTCCTGCTGCCGACAGCTGGTGGAGGATGCCAGAGCTTCAGGCAAGCAGAGCAAACAGTGCCCACGGAAAGCCAGCGAGATAGCCAGAGCTTAATGAGCTGATAACAGCCCAGGCAAACACCAGGAGGGCTTCGGGTCCAAACCCAGCCCTCCGGCAATGACGTAGGTGAGGAGCACACACCTCTCTGCAGAACCCTCTCC